CTTTTCCGTTCATTCAGTTTAGCATTAAAACAACAGAGAAATAAGCTGGTTCAAACAAATTTGTATCCATATATGTTTAAAATCATCTTATTTTACCAAGAATGTTCAAATTTTGGACACACGAAATGTAAGAAAGATGGGACTATGCCATATTAACTCACCTTTTCCACCTTCTTTCTTTCTTTCTTTCTTTGAATTCTAGGTTGCCAAACTGTGGGCAGCTACGCAAAATTAAAAGAACAACAGTTTGGTAGGCATGAAAACTGGCTGGGTAACTTTGAGCCAGTCACTCTCTTTCAGCCCACAGGGTTGTTGTGGTAGAGAAAATAGGAGGATAAGAGAGTATTAGATATGTTTGCTGCCTTGTATTATTCTTAAAAGTAATAAAGGTGGGATAAAAATCTAATAAATAAATAAATAATAAAGCTATCTATCCATATCTCCCACACCAACTCAAGGGACTTACTGTGTTCCTCCAAAAATAAGATCCAACTGGAAAATAAACCCTAGCATGATTGTTCAGGATACTCGTAATATAAGCCCCTCCCCTGAAATAAGTCCCAGTTAAGATTGTCAGCCAAATGGATGCATTTAGTACCGTATTTCCCCGAAAATAAGACCTAACCTGAAAATAATTCCTAATGCGTTCTTTGCAGCAAAAATTAATATAAGACCCGGTCTTATTTTCAGGGAAACATGGGAAAAATGAGGCTGCTTCCAGATGTTGAAGGGAGGTTCCTTATTCTGTATCCAAAGGTTTGCTGCATTGGATGTGTATTCGTTACTTAAGCTAGGCCAATGCCTGAACAAGGAAGCTGTCCTGGGTTCTTGGCCCTTATTCCATTTTTCTCATCCTTTCACTCACTCCTGGAATAGTGTGTGAATAAATATTTCCAAATAGTGGGAGAGATGGTGGGAAGCCTGCTCTAAACACACAGTTGCCATACCCAGTTTAAAAGCTTCTTCAAATACTCATGGAGAGACTGTGACTGAAGCAGACACTCTTCCTCTGTTGCAGCTAGAATTGAAAGTATTGGGCCAGGGAAATTTGCTGCTTAAGGCAAAGGACAAGATAGGGCATAGACAGAGCACTTAACCAGATTAGACAGTTGAAGCAAAGCACATGTTGAAGCATATAGTATAGTATGTTCTGTTACAGCTGTGTCTGGCTGTTAACTAGAGCAGAGGTCCCCAACCTTTTGGGCACCAGGGACCGGTTATGTTGAGAGAGATTTTCCCGCAGACCAGAGGGTGTTGTGGTTTTGTGTGCTGCCTGCATCTCATGGGTGGGGCTTTGCTTGTTTGTGCAGCCCTGTTGCTGACATGCCACGGCCTGATACCGGTCCACGGACTGGGGGTTGGGGACCCCTGAACTGGAGTGATCATGGATAGCCACGTGGCACATAGATTTGTCCACAATTTGCATTGCTTTTTACCTCTTAACATCTCCTGCCTAAGGAGCAACTTCACCTTGATAGTGAAGCTCCTGAACAAATCTATATTATTTCTTTGGAAAACAATAGCTCAGACTATTAAAAGTGCCACAGATGTTTAGAGCAAGTTAATGCCTGGTACATTGCCATTATTGTTGCTTGAATATATCAATTACCTTTTTCTTGTAGCATACACAGTTCACACTGCTATATTATACAAAAACAGATGCCTTTTAATTTTGCTCGGTTGACTTATATTACCACCAGAAAAATAGCGTTGGTCCTTTTAATGTAGCATCGATTATTCAGGAGTGACATAAAGCATCAATCTCAAATCCTTCCTCCCTCTCTAACACTCTTCTGCAAAGGTTAGTTCTTTCCAAAAGGAATGACATCAAAGGAGGATTTCTACGAAATATGCTTTTAACATTCATCATTTGTTTCCTCCAATGAAAATTTATTCAGTCTGGTACTTTTGTACAGACTTTTTTTGAAGTTTTGAACTTGCTGTGTTTATTCACCTGGACACTTTACTAATTTATTCAGTGTTTTGATGGATTGGAAGGATGAAGCTACTATATAGTACCTGTTATGTCCTGAGCCTGTGCAAGCAGGCTCGGGGCATTGCAAACGGTTCCGGCAGGTGCAAGCTGCCCGAGATCAGACAGGCTGTCGCCAGTACTTGTGTGCATGCGCAAGTGCTGGCGCGCCAAAAGTTGCAGATTTACCCAGGGATGGCCTATATAAGAGGCCAGGAGTTTGGGCGTTCTCGGCGTCTTCTAACTGTAAGCTGAACACATGAATAAAGAAGTTTCCTGAGAACTACAACTGCTTCTCGTGTCTTGCCATTTCGCCAAAGACTCAACACTGGCGACGAAGGTGGGATTGCCTTACATCAACAAAAAGGTGTAAGCTTACCCGAGTGAGTCCTGAGCGGCAGGAACGGCATTGACTCGGCAGCTACCCACCAATCCAGCATGCATTCGGGGGTAGGCTGGCTGATAGACCCTTCCTGATACAAAAATGGCAAAGATTGGAAGGCTTTCGGACTTCGACGTCTCACATCCAGAGAGGTGGGAGTCCTACGCAGCCAGGGTGGAAAACTACCTCAAAGTGAACCAAGTGAGGGAAGAAAGTTTGAAGGCTGCCACCCTGCTGTGCATTTGCGGTCAAGACGCATTCAAAATCGCTGAGAACCTTGCAGCACCTGTTCCTTTAGACTCTGTCAGCTACGCAGATCTAAAAAAGCTACTGAAGGAGCACTTCCAGCCTAAGATGTCCGTCATTGCGTGGCGCCACACCTTTGAGCAGAGGGATCAACGACCCGGAGAATCGGCCAAGGACTACATCGCCGCATTGAGGAAAGCCGCCAAACATTGCGAGTTCAAGGACCTCGAAGAACGACTGAGGGACAGATTCGTATGCGGGCTAAGGCATCGTGAGTTACAACAGAGACTTTTTGCTAAGGAGGACTTGTCTTTCCAAGATGCCTTGAGAGAGGTCACCACAGAGGAAGCAGCGGGCGGCGCTGTCAAGAATATGCGGCCGATCAGGAACAGTCCAGATGTTGCATCCGTGCACCAGGAAGAAGTCCAAAGAAACTCTGAGGAGGATCCGGATGAGGAAGTCGACCGTCTTCACCCCACAAAGGAAGGGAAACAAAAGGAAGCTCTTCAGCTCTCCCCAAGTGCATCGGTTGTGGAGGTCGCCACAGGAGAACCGACTGCAAGTTCTGCTCCGCTATCTGCAGGGCGTGTGGAAAACAAGGACACATTGCAGCTGTGTGCCTGGGCCGTCTGAAGGTACAATCTCAGGAAGAATTGCGCCTGAAAGGTACCAGGGTCCCCAGTCAGAATAGGGTGGGGTTTTGCGCTTCGCGAAGAAGCATCTATATGACAGGCACACACAAGCCAATTAAGAAAAAGCTGTCACTTAAGGTGAAGCTACAAGGGGTTCCATTAGCTATGGAACTGGATACGGGGTCTGCCCTTTCAATCATTTCCATGCAAACGTTTAGGAAGATTTGTTCCGGTAGTGGAACTCAGGCCAAGCTGAGGCCTTCTGACATTGTGTTAACAGACTTTCAAAACTCCAGAGTGTGTGTTAAGGGGGAGGCCACCCTTAACGTACAGTATAAGGATTTTGAAGGTCCACTAGACATATTAGTAGTAGGGGGTGAACGAACGAGTCTCATAGGACTCGATTGGTTTGAGGCCTTGGGAATACACGTCACAGGGCTCAACAGCCTACAGACACTCAACCTACAGGAAGTCTGCAAAGAATTTGCAGATGTTTTCAGCCTCCAGCTGGGCACATTCAAAGGACCTCCTGTGTCCTTAAAGCTAGACCCCACTGTCACTCCCATTAGAATTAAAGCAAGAAGGGTCCCTTTTGCTTTAAAGAATAAAATTGACACTGAGTTGGATAAACTGATCCAACAAGGAATTCTAGAACCTGTTGACTCCAGTCCCTGGGAGACCCCCATTGTCACGCCTCTCAAGGCAAATGGGGACATTCGCATCTGTGCTGATTACAAATGCACTCTGAATAAGGCATTGCAGCAACATGCCTATCCTGTTCCCGTGGTCAGTCATATTCTGGCCTCCCTCAAGGGGGGGGCGTGTTTTTGCAAAGCTTGACCTAGCTCAAGCATATCAACAGCTGCCTGTTGATGATGACGCTGCTATAGCTCAGACTATTGTGACCCACAGAGGGGCTTTCAAGGTAAAGAGACTTCAATTTGGAGTAAATGTCGCTCCTGGGATTTTCCAAAGCGTAATGGAAAACACACTACGGGGTATACCAGGGGTTTGCCCCTATTTTGATGGTGTCTTAATTGCAGGAGACTCCACGCACATTCTAGCTGAAAGGCTAAGGGCTGTCCTGTTAAGGTTCAGGAAAACGGGACTCAAACTCAAGAAGGACAAATGTAAAATTGGGGTGCCTTCCACAGAGTTTCTGGGGTTCAAAATTGATGCTGCTGGGATTCACCCTGCTGAATCCAAACTAAAAGCCATTATGCAAGCCCCCAGGCCAAAGTCTAAGGCCGAACTACAGGCTTTCCTGGGCCTTCTGAATTTCTACAATTCCTTTCTTCCACATAAGGCTAGTGTAGCTGAGCCTCTTCACAGGCTATTAGATAAACAGGCAGTGTGGCAGTGGTCACAAACACATGAGGCAAGTTTCAATGAGGTCAAGTCCTTGCTCACTTCTAACAGTGTACTTGCACACTTCAATGAGTCCTCTTCCTGTGTGCATCGCTTGTGATGCTTCCCCTTATGGGGTAGGAGCTGTACTGAGCCACCTCAGGTCTGATGGAACTCAGGTTCCTGTTGCATATTACTCCAGGACATTGTCTTCAGCTGAGCGCAACTATGCTCAAATAGACAGGGAGGCCTTAGCTGTTGTTGCTGGAATTAAAAAATTCTATGATTTTTTATATGGTAGGCATTTCACGGTCTTTACTGACCATAAGCCTTTGCTGGGACTGTTTACCACACGTAAACAAACCCCCCAAATCATCTCCCCCAGATGCTCAGGTGGTCTATCTTTTTATCTGCATATGAT